GTGCCCCTGTAAAAGTTCAAACGCCCAACAATGCCGGCCGGACCCGCGCGTTACGCATATCTATTTATTACATCGGCAATGCATGCACGCTTTTTCTCTCTGCTCGTTGAAAAAGTGCCGCGACAGAAATAGTACCGGCGCACCTCCCTAATGCACTCGCTCCGTTTCACACACTGTCCGTTTTGGACTTTAGGTGCACCGCCGTTGATCCATGAAAATTTTTCGACGAACTGAAGGCGTTACAATGTGACGATAAAGAGGCTTAACTTTAGTTTTTCAAAACCGCAGTATTGGTTTCAAATTTTTATATAATTGAAGTATCGAACAAAATTTAAATCGCCCAATAGAAAATTTAAGATAAATATTATATATTTTCATTTTCATTTTTCCGTAGCTTTGAAATTTTGATTGGAAATTTAAACTGACCAAAACTTCATATTCAAGGCAATGTTTAAATATGTCAATGCTAATTTTTTTTAATTAAAATTTTAACTTATTTTTAACATTTTTTAAATTAAATTTTATTGTTGTGAAATTTATTTTAAATTATGTATTTATTTAAAAAAAATATAAATTTAAACAAACGGAAATTTTAATTTTTTTTACATTTAAAACAATTTATATATATTATAATTTTTGAGAATATTTTTATGCTGCATGGCAATCAAGAAGCATATATTTGTTTACGTCCAAACCTCATTATCGTGGCTATGTTTGATTGTTCGCTATTAAGAAAATTGAAAATTTATATTATTTGTATTTAAACACTTGAAACTTTATAATCTAAACTAATTGAAAATCACTTAAATAACGATGACAAATAGAAGGTCTCACTTGATAGGTAATATTGAAGTTGAAATTTTCTTTATATATTCTGTTTGGCATAATCTATATCCATCTTGGAAAAATCAATTATAAAAAAAGCTTCATTATATTAATGGATGTCGGGCGAAATTAATCTATTAATCTATTTGCAACAAAATTTTGGTTTGTATAGCAAAATAAAAAAGTTATCAATACATTTTTTCTGAAGACTAAATGTTAGCAATGCTCATTGAGTTTCTTTCTTAAAGGTTTGTCTGGCACCTGCTCTCTTCAAACGACGAGAATAACAATCCTCCCTTACGCACAAATTGTGTGATTGTTTACAATTATCGGCCAGACTGGCAGACAGACCAAGTCTGGAGAAGTTTGCACATTTCCCAAGGCCATTAGTGCGTCCCTCTCCATTCCAATCGTAAACTTGGGCGGAGGAGAAAGAGAGACCTTAGTTGTAAGTAAATACATATATAAAGAAAGGCTTATTTTTTGGCTGCACTCGCTCGTCTGGCTGGGGTGCGAATTAATTAATGATTTTGTTTCCATTCACGCGCGCCTAAGCCCCTGCTTGCTTCCGATGTGATGGGATTTCTCTTTGGACGGTGAAGGCAAGGAGAATTGAGGCGCCCTCGATTTATGTTGGTCGGGTCGTTCCACCTTTCCGGCGTGAGTAGAGAGAGGCCAAAGTGTGTAATTGTTATGAAGTGTGAGTTAAGCCTTCTCCGAGCGGCGCGCAACCTCGCCCATGAATTACTCGCTACGTGCTGCGAAATTGAATTATGGCTACCTGTGCAGCCCGGGAATAAAAAAGAGACACCAGACCCGCCGGCAGAGAGGTATGGTGGGGAAAGCGAGAGTGACTTGCTGAAAGTTGGGTGCGCACAGAGCCACACCGTTTTGCCCATTTTGCTCTCTAGGTTGTATTACTTGATCAACGATTGTCGTACAACTTCACAAAAAGTGAGTTTAATAGACGAAAATCGTCAAAAGGCTTGATAAAAATCATAAAAATATAATTCAAATTTTTAAATAAAGAATTGAATAAAATTTAAAAATAGATCATGGGGTTTGTAGTCCATTTTTTGGTGAAAATTTATAAAAATTCAGAATTGTTTTTTTTTGTGGTTTATTAAAAAAAAATCTCATATTAGAATGCGTTCAACTGCCATTGTTTGAACTTCATCAAAAATTCCTTTTTTTTAACAGCCCTGAAATAATACATTTTATACATTTATTAATTATATTTACTGAACTCTATAAAAGTTACAAAAAATAAAGATATAGTTAAAAATAATTTTTTTAATTAAATTTGGACAAAAGTAGAACATTCATTTTCCACATTAAATCAGGACTTTTTCATAGAAAATTTTTTCCTTGAAATAAATTAAAACTTTTTATTGTGTAAAGAATTCATTTATGCAACTAAACATATTTGCATCCACAACACGTCGAAAAGCGAGCGAGCAGAGCAATTTCAATTCAGCCGCACGTAATTCGTGGCTGATTTCATTTTTTGCTTACTCATCGCGGGCCGCGGCGGCAGTCAATGGCACGGACAAATGGAATATTTGAAACGGTTTTAATGGAAACGGCAGGGCAAAGAACGACCCGCAGACCGACAGACTGACCAACCGACAAATCACACTCGGAGAGGGACCGCCAAAAATTCACACAGCATGTACAATTTTGAGAGAGCGAGCGGCAGTATGTATTAAAATCGATTTTCATAATAAATGAGTCGGGTGGAATGGAGCCGCTCTTTTATTTTATGTCAACCCGTCAATAAATAATTTAAAAACCTCGCAGTCTTTTTTATAGAGATCGTTGGCTGCTCTATCTCGTTTTTTCCAGCGATTTATCCAGTCTTGCTGCAATAAATTTCCAACTACTAATCCGTAGTCAGCGCTTAGATAATCTGATTGCAATACAAAGGGAGAAAATGAATAAAAAAAGAGCGAGATCAAATGAGAGAGTGCGGCGGAGGGAGGAGGAAGAACGGATACTAACAAGACTTGGAGACGCCTCTGCTTTATTAAGTTAGGCTTCCCGCCCGACGTATAAATATTCAGCGGACGCCTTTGCTCGAGAAGGAGAAGAAGAATGAATCGCTAATGTTCGGAACTGATGATGAAACCGCTGCCGACAAAGGCGCCGAATTTGCTCTTTTGCTGCCCTCCTTTCATACCATTCATACAGTAATTCCAACTCTTGTCTTTGACAAAAGTTGATAACTTATTATATATCAAAGAATTTTTGTAGCAAATTTATTAATATTCTTTAAGGAGAATGAAAAAGAATTTTTCCTTTAAAAAATTTGTGTTTTACAAAAACTGACTAATTTTTAAATTTCTGGAATTTAATGTATTTAAATAAAAAATTAAAAAATTTAATACTCATCATTTTGAGTTATAAATCTTTAGTTGTTCTAATTTATTTTTTCTAAAAGTATTGGTAACAGCGTTAAAATTCATAATGAATTTATTACCGCAACAAAATCAAGCAATAATCATTTATAGTTCCATAAAATTTCAGTGCGGCTATGTGGCGGAAATCAATACATATCAATTCAGCTTTATGAAAATATCACATTACATTAGATCTATTTTATTTTATAAAAAAAAGATCATTTAGGCAGAATTTTGAATTAATGCAAAATAATTAATATTATTATAAAAATATTATTTTAATCCCTCACGCTGATTTAGCAATGGTTTCAAATATTTAGAGGGCAATTATTTTGATGAATTATATTCTAACATATTCACAGACTATTTCACTATCATTTCGAAAATTTGTATCAATGTTTTGCTCACCCCTATTTCCTCAAAAACGGCTAAAAGCAAAATATGACATTGGAAAATACCGCCCTGGGTGTCCAGAAGAAAAATGGAATGCATTTATAGCCACGCGTTATACATTTAATAAAACACAATTGTGTGGCATTACATAGATTGTGTGTGCAAGGAATTTCATTTGGCGCAATAAATCAAAGGATTTCGCGCATCTTTTTGCTATCTATTGAGCTCGAAACCAGGCCATTTCTCAAAACACGTATTTTATTATACATTCAGAAGTCATTCAGCCACACACACACATGGCGCTTTGTTGATGTTTGTTGCTAGTTTCGCCCGAGACCTTCTTTCCGCGGCGGGGCCACGCGCGAGCAAAGAAGTTTACCCCCAAAGCGTTGATTAATGGCCTTCCTGTTTTCTCAACTGCTACTTTTCTTTCAAAAAGGGAGAATCTTGGCAAACTCTCACCAGTTTACGAATAGCTCCTTAGACATTGATGTCTAACAAGGCAAAGAAATCTTTCGTTGTTAAACGTGTCAAATTTAAATAATTGATTAGTGTAATTATTAAATTCATTTACTAATGGTAATGAATTATGAAAGAAAAAATTATTTAATATTAAAAAATGATATAACTGAAGTTTAAATTTTTGATAAGCATGACATCATCAACCAAAATTGAAGAACAAAAATTATGTGAAGTGATATAAGCAAGTTCAATAATTTGAACGTCATATAAAATTAACTTTTTGCTGAATTGTACCAGATAATCTGGCCAATGGTTTATTTCAACTCGAAGACCTATTAGAAAATTTCCAGACCATGGTTACGTTAAACCAATTTTGTACGTACTTTCAATAGGATTTGGCCTAACTTAAGTTGTCCCTGGGCAGGAAACAATTTTTGTCCGTTTTGTTATTTTCACCCAGGTGTCGTGGTCTCTTTGTGGAGAAATGAAAAATATTAGGCATCGATTTGGTGTTGGCAAAAACAAGGCCGCCACCAGCAGCAGCTCCGTCGTCATCACCGAATTTCCACCTCCCTCCTTTGCGCCTTCCTGAGCCGCCGCTTTTTTCCATACACTGTATGTGTTCAAAGGCCCGGTTAAAGTGGAATCTTTGTCTTTTTACAACATATTGGACGTGCAGATATAAAAAAAGGGAATATATTCCGAGCGCGCGCCGCTCCGCCAACAGGAAAAAACGATAGTGAATTTTAAATATCGGCCATAAATCAGTGGATGCCGATATTTCCGAGCCATTGGTATCTCATCAAATATTCCCTTTTGTCATTTCTCTCCCCCGACGCATCCCCCTTTTAAAGTAATTGACTGAAAGAATTTCTTCCTGAGGAAAATGCTGTTGGGGAGCACAGTTGATTTGCCGCTTACCTTATTTTCACCTCCTTCGACAGCCATTCATTGTGTTTCTCGAAGCTGATGAGGATGGCGGCGATTTCCTGGAATCAAAATCAATGCAGAAATTTAGCCAAAGGTGATTTCATAAATGCATATACATAATTATTAAGTATGAACAAATTGGAGAGAGAGAAAAACTATAATATGTATTTCTCTATAAATTTTTGATGAAAGCTGCACAATTTATGATAATTATCTGTTAATGCATTCAACTGTCACTATCTATTGAGGCTTTGAAAAATGATGGAGTTCATTCATTTGGTTATTTAATGATTTAATTTTATATTATTTATGTCCCAATTTATTTATTATTGTCCTGATGGCGTCAGAAGTGAAATGGAACGGAAAGTTGTGTGCATCACACGCGGCCTGGTTGGGAGCAAAGCGGTCAGCAGCTAGACGAGCTGACGCAAATCCATAAAAGCGGCCGGCTTTGACAAGTCTGAGTCGTTTTGAGTAATTTATGGCGGGTGCATATAATTAATAGTGAGAGGTCGGTACATTCACCGAGGCGCATGCAGAAAAAAAGAAGCACAATGCACGAGGCTTAACTTTTCAACTTTAATGAACTGCTCTTTGATGAAACACGGAATAAAATATATACGTGCGAGCTTCAAATTGGGGCAGCCAATTGAAACTGGAGGCAGGAATTTGATTAAAATTAGTCTCGACGACTTTTTATTTCGAAATAAATTAAAGCAGCTTTGCATTTTCTTCGAGCGGATAATGAGAGGCGAGAGCGTGAGATTTGCAAATGAAAGTTTCCGCTTTAAACAAAGAAGAAGAAGTCTTTCTTGGTCTGTTGCGAGACGTACATTCATATGAAGTCGGAGAGGGGTCCAAAGGGATTAATTCGAACGATTGGTTTTTCCAGTTCTGTAGCAATAAAATAGTGAAGAAGTTCTTTCTTTTTCTCTCCCTTGGTTTTTCTCTTTTTTTCGCGTCCCGAGCCGCTCTGTTCTTAACTTCTTTTTTATTCGCCTCGCCTCCTTCTATTTTTATATACCATGGCAATTATGAGCAGTTTTCTTTTGGGAATGTGGCGCTGCCTCGAAACGAGATCCAGCGCGCGTCTTTTTTCTCTCTTTCTCTCGCGTAACGAGTTTTCTTTCCTTTCTGCGCCGAGACCATTGATTTTAATGGTATTAACCAAAGGGACAATCACAAAGAAAAACGCAAACATCGTTTGGATCATGTTTGCATATTAATATTCGGGCTAATAATATAATCGCAAAATGATTTTGCAGAAAACGTATCCCAAGGAATAGAAACAGTTTTTTAAATATCAACATGAATGCAAAAAAAGAAAATATAAATTTAATTTATATGTAGTGGCATTAATGCTATGTACATAAAAGTTTCCGTTTATTTTTGCAATGATTTAAAATGGAAAATATTTGCTATCAACAACAAAAAAAAAAATAATAATATTTTTAATCTCCATCCATAAAGTATATTCATTTAAATCATTTTACTATTTTTCTTAATTTCAATACTATATATAAAAATTATTTCAACGCTATTTAAATTTTGTTAACTTAAATATATTCCTGAACATAATTGGTAAATATATCAATTTACCTTTACAGAGAAATATTTATTTTCTATCTTCACCGTTAAAAGTACAACAATAAATATAAATAATCAAAATGTCAAATCAAGAAATAAATTTTTATGCAACAATAAAAAAAAAATGAAAAACGTTCTTTATTACAGCTAATTTTTTAGCTCAAAATTATAAGATTATAAATGTATAAATAATTTTAATTAATATATAAATGTTCCAAAATAAATAATTTATGAAAATCCTTGTTTACGTATTTATTTCTCTGGAACAATTCCTTGAACAGGTGGTTCTATAAGAACAGCTAGGAAATGTAGCAATAGTCCATGATAAATGTATTGAAATTTTTACTAAAACAGCATTTAAGTTTAAAAACTTTGACAAAATTATTAAATAGTTATTTTGAATAATAAAAACATTTTCTATTTTAGAAGTAAAATTTATGTATTTAAGAAAATATATTAATTAAAATAAAAAGGAAAAATAACTTTTAATATCCTCTATTGTTTGAGACTTTGCAACTGCTGTCAAAAATTAGATGCAAATAATGAATTATAACTTTTTGCAAATTAAGATCAAAGTGATACAAACAGAGCTGGAGAATTGCCGGAAATAAAAGACCACGCAGAATGCAACAAGAGTCTTAAAAAGTTGGCGGGTAACGACCAACTTTCGCACTGGCAATATGTCCTTGAAGGCTAATTTCGGAATTTTACAGCCGCGAGTAAAAATCTCAAACACTTAATTGGCCGTTTGCATCGACGGAAGCTCCGACGGGCAGTAAAATAATTTACGAGAGAGAGAAAGCGCGTTGTTAGCTCGGCGAGTTGGGGCGAAAATTATACAAGCGAGGGTCGTGAAAATTAGACGCACGCCTGCAAATTAATAATTGAGGCAGCTCCTCAGTCTAGTGTGTCCCATGACGTCTCTCTCTCCCGACAATTATGACGAGCTCGGCTGTCAATAAAACCGGCGTCGATGTCATTCGCTCTATTCCTGCTCTCATTGCATATTTACACGTTCTCCACTATGGCTGGGCGTGTAATATGCGATATGATTGTTACTCTTCAGTCCCCAGATAGGTGTACAACAACTCGGCCTGGCATCGCCGCAAATGACTTTGACGGCCGTTAGGCGAAAATAATTCTATTCCGGATTAATACATTGCCCGTTTAGCATCGTTTGAAAGCAATTTAATAATTTGGAATCATTGACTTGATTGCCCAGCAATTAGACTGAATTATTAGACAATGATTTCAAGCTGAGCTGTGTGGATGGATGATAAATTGGGATGAATTCTGTTTCCTTTTGCAAGTGAAATTTTATTTATCATTTTCCAGAGGATATTCATCATTATTCAACTGTTTGCTCAATCACACTCAATAAAATAAAAAGGTAGGTTCTTAAATTTTCAATTGCGTTCAAATAAGCGAATCATAATTTGAAAAAAAAAATTATAAATAATAAAGTTCTTCATCATAAATTAATATTATTTTCATAAAATTAGAAAAATTATTTACTGCATTTTACTAGATTTTAAATTTGATTGTATTAATTTGACACTTTATATTTAGTTCTTAAATTATCTCTTTCAATAAAGCATTGCTCTTGGCATATTCATTATTCAAAAAATAAAGATGCTGTAGTTGATTTTGATGAAAGTGTCTTGTGGCTCATTAGGTGGATAATTAACAATTAATTAAGGAAGTGAGCAGCTCCGTGGCTGCAATGCAAGGTGATTTGCGCGTGAGAAATGAACTGCGGCACGTGTGTTTTCGTCTGCCTGCGTACTCGTATAATTTATTGCCGCTTGAAAATGTCTGCCGGCAAACTTGAGCGCGGCTTTTTGCTTCTTGCACAAAGACCGAGTAATAACGAGCGACTTGGCGGTGATGGCTTAAGGTGATTATGTAAAATGAAATTAATTAATTCCGCCGGTGATGCAAAAAGTAGTCGCTTGCTCGCTCATCCGCCCTCAATCCATTTGCACGCGGGGTGCATACGTTTTAACACACCCAGCCAGTCAAAGATGAATTCAGGGCGGTTGTTTGTTCCTCCTGCAGACGGAGAGGCAGGATTAAATGAAAAGTTTGGCTTCGTGTTATAGCTGCCGAACAAGCTGAACCGCATTATTATTTATAAACTTGAGTGTTGGGTCGATTAACCAACTTCTGTGAACGAACTGAATTGAAACTCTTTTCGGTTTTGGCATGGACAGCCATGAAAATTCTACACATTGTACGTCTTAATTGTTAGGGCTATTCATGTCAATAGAATTCGTAGAATATGTGACACGCTAGACACGCTATGCATTCTTTTTATCACTTTCATAATTCTGTCTATTTCATAAAATAATTTTACTAGGAACATTCTGATTGTTTCACTGAGAAAAAGTTTCATCACTTCGAGGCTCCTGGTGCTACTAAAATTGAGCCCAGTTAACAAAGAGCGAAATCGTGTTCGAATTGAAAAATAAATTTATTTTAAATGAAACTTTCTTGGACTTTTGGGGGAAAGTGATTTTTTCGTCATCGTTTTTTATAAAATCCTATAAAAAATAGATTGTCCAGTTTAATTTACTTTGCAACCAACAATGCACTACATAAGTCACCTTTGCGAGGCTGCAAATTTACTGATACGTGCGTCGGAAAAAGTGCAATAATTCGGTGGAAATTTATGGAAAATTAAAAATATCGCGCGGCCGAGCTTATGGTGGGCGAGAGAGCTGCTAGATCTCAATCTGGGCGTTCGTAAATCACTCGGAGGAGAGCAGTCGGCGGTGCTATTTATTTCAGGCCGCACCTCATCCACACCCAAAGCAACGGCGGCGGCAGCGGCAGCGGCGGCGGCACAGGAATATGAATTATTGCTCGAGTGCGCGCGCGGCTTTTCCACTTTTTTGCTCCGGCTGCCGAGAAATGTAGATCAAAAGTCACATCAATCAGCGGAGAGCTGCACGGCTTTCGGCTACAACATAATAATAATAATCACTCTGGCACTCAAGCGAGCTCTTCTCATCCTCGCTACCTACTTGAGCTCGCTCGCTACTTCTATCCATATTATCTGCCCTTTTACATATATAGAGACCAACCACCCTATGTACGCTAGCTGCTTTCATATATATACATGTGCACGCTGAAACAAAGTAGTGTAGCTCATGCATGCATATACTGGAGCGCATGCATGCAAGTATAAACAGAAAATATATCATTCACAAGCCGCCGTCATAATGCACACATACATAACTCTCTTGTGATTTTTATCTCTCAAAAGAGAATGGATGCTTTCCAGTCAAAACGCCACCCTCCTTTCTCAGGTCACCACAAAATTTCTTATATCTTCAAAGCTATAATCATATCATTGTAAAACAAAAAAAAAATAGCTTGAATTTGATAATGGGCGAGGATTAAATTTATAATGATCGTAATATTTTTATAGGAAAGCAAAAAATGAATATTGTGAAAAGGTTTGAAGATG